TGTTCCATTTAAACCTTGCCATGTATTAGGAACCACATTCCAGCCTTGTTTAAGCATGCAAATCATCCAACAAAATATGAAGAGGAAAAATCCCAGTTATTCAACACTCCTTCCCCCTATGGGACACCTTTAAACTCATGCAAAACTCCACACACACAAAGCACAAGCTGTATACATTTCTGAATTCCTCCAAACCTGTTTCTAAGTTCAAAATATGTGACCCTGAGCTGCCTTTACATAAAGCCTCACTGGGAAGTTCTAATTGTGCTTTGAGTTCACAGATGTGGGTAAGCCACTTCTCATTAAACTTTCTAGAGCTCCATGAACCCTTTGACACGCATTTTCACATGTAAATATAAACACTGTCAAGCTTGTGAAACTTTGGTTCATTCTCCTCCAGAGGAGAACAAGGATCAACCACAAAAGGAAGCAGCCAGTTGGTTTTTTCTTATATACTATAGGCTCAACCCCATATAAACCACTAAAATCTGCTGTAATAACCAGTTTGGGACTTTGGCTGTTTCATTCATTAAAGCATCAGGACCTCACTATTAATCACACATTTTTTAGATAAAAGGGGTGAAAGAAGAGGAAATGGTGACCAAAAAAAAAAAAAATCCCAAGAAAGTGTTGAGTATCTTTTTATTGAAAGACAACAAACACAAGCGAGCCATTAATAGTGGCAAAGATGGGGGGGTGGAGGGGATTTCAATCAGCCTTTTCATGTTTTATTCATTTTTAAGTAAGAAAGCCTTTCCCTCTGTCCAGTTTTTGCCTTTACTAACATAACCAGACATCAGGCATTGCACACATCCATCCCCTTTCTGAGTGCTGCCTCAATGATTATTTCAGTTCTGACACCACGACAACCAACCCAAGCACTAATAAAGGTGGGATTTTCTGTCTGCAAGTGGACAAAACAGATGCTCTGTGCCAGAGATATCCAATCTGTGGCCCACCTGGAAAATTCATCTTACTTACAATCTATTCCTACCAGCTTTTGAGCACTAAGAAGATGCCTATTGAGACACATTATGGCCATGCAATACTGAGTGCACTGAATTTATGGAAAAGGTCCAGCCAGGCTGTCAGGTCCTCCTTGCTTTAAAAAACAAGCTCTGACTCAACCACAGTGCTGGATCTATTTACAGAGATCTATTTACAGATCTATCTTACTACAAACAGAGCATTTGTAGTAAGTTCTGATTTGAAGCATGAATCTTTATCAAATGTTAATTAAACTCTAGTATAGGAGTGGAGAAGCGCAGCTTTCAAACCTATGAATGAACAGAAAGGCGTGTGCTATAAAACTATAATGTTAATTATTGCTCTTCTGTCAGGTGGTTGGGAGAGATTATTCTCAAGAACTACAAATCACCTGTGACAACTTCCAGATTTATCCAACAGGAAGAGCTCTGAGATAACCTGCAAAGGCCAGCAGGTATCAGGAAGTCAAGCAGACACTCACAACCTCTGTGGTTTGTTCAGGCTGTTATTTATCTACATTAGGACAGTCCAGTCTTATCATGCACAGGCCCGTTCCTTTTGGCAGGAGTCTCCTCATGTGTCACTCTAGACTTGCTGTCTGCTTTCTAAGTGAACAACCATATGAAAGCAGAGAAGCCTCTTGTCTTTGGGGAGGAAAAAATGGTAGGTCAGATGGAATTATGCTTCAGGCTGAACAGAACACTCCACGGGCTGGAGACTAAACTAAGCTAAGGCAGTGATTTAACAGACGTGGATATGAACTCAGCTCTTTTCCTCACAGTCTCCAACAATCCCTAAAAACTACTTGTATAAATATTTGTGCAATTAATCCAACCATAAAACCATTCAGACCTTTTTACTTATACAGCCCACTAAAATTTCCAGCATACAAGAAGGGCTGCATGATCAAACCTCAGTCACATTTACAAGCACAATCCAGACTCGGATATCCTGTTGGATTAGTTTTAATCTACATTTTTTTCACTTACTCCAACATCAAAACAGTCAGTTCTCTTAATTTGTTTACTCATTTTCTTCCTGTACCTGTCACTGTGCTCTGTTCTTACTGAACAGTTAAGATTATCCACTTTTAATTGGTTTTTCCACTCTTGGCCAGAAAGAGTGAGTCTACCAGAACACATATACATGTATTTTAAGGCTTATATCACTATACCTATAAAAGCCTGCTTTAATCACCTACCATTTATACACAAGATAACCATGAAAAAGCAAATATTAATCTTTTTAAAAGTAGGGTTTTTTCATTACCATGCTCTCTTTGTACTCTGCCAGTCCCCCCACACTCTCTGGGGTCTATATTCTGAATTTTCACGCATACCATAAAGTATCTTTGGAATGTTACAGTATAATTGTTTAGAGAAACATTTAACGGATGAGTAAGCATCAAGAGGCCAGGACTAAGGGAAAAGAGAAGTTAAAATGCTGGCAGTATTTTGTATTCAATGATCTTCTCAGCATGAGGACAGGGGATGGACATTTGATCCAAAAATCTGGTATTGACTCAAGTGATACAAACCCAGAGCCAGCATGGAGGGTAGGAAGGCACCTACCAAAATATCTGCTCCCAGCCACCCCTCCCAAACTGGGCTTTGGGCACTGGCCAGTAGAGAAATCCAATGCTGTTTGATCAATAACAGGAATATTATGATCGGGGATGACACGATCTTGACAACTGGCTCTTTTTCCTTTTTTAATGCTTCCCCAATTTACTTCCCAAATAATCTGCATGTGCATGATAGAGAAATACAGAATTAGCTGGAAAGAGAGCTGGGCATCGAGTACAGAGGCGGCTACAAAAAAGCTGAGCGTTCTTTCAGTACAAGGAACTGCTGGAGACAACATGCTGTAAATTAAAGCAAATTTTCCTGAATTCCCTGAAGGATGCTCCTCTCAGAGATTGTACAAATCCATTAGCACAGGTCCATCATTAGTGTTTTCTTGGGGTTCATTTTCTGAAGAGAGTTTGAAAAAGCACACCCAAAATAAAGTGTATGGAGTGGGACAAATCAGGCCTAACCTTACATAATTGATTCATACCCTGATTATTAGAGCACAGCTGAGAGGGCTTTTACTCCCAATTCCTCCTCAGCCACATACTTCAAGTAAGAAAAAGCAAAATAATCACCCCCCTACCTGAATTCCTGACCAGAAGAAGGGACACAGAGGCAGGAGAAGTGCTGACATGCTCTGGTGACCAAGCAGTTCTGTGATAGCAGAGCCAGAAAAGCCCAGCAGCCCCAGCCTGGTGCCACAGCTGAAGCTTGTCCCATGATTGGGCACCTAAACTCTCCCTCCGAGGGGGTTCTGTGGTGCTGAACAACAAACGAGTTACAGCTGGTGCAGCACAACCTCTCCAAGCTTCAGACTTCCATAAAGTTCTCAGAAATGTGTTGTCTCTGAGGAACTGCTGTTCCTGCCTTACGTTTGGTGGAGAGCAGGTAACGTGTTAAAAATCGATGAGGGGCACACAAATAGTGTGACTCTATAAATCTGAGCTTGTTAATGAACTCATGGATGAGTGGCACAAGTTCTGCTATGGAGCCTTCCAGTTCCAAACTCAATGGATTTTTTAAAATTCGTAATATCTCTGTAAAATGGGCGAATCTAAACCAGCTGTAAAAATAGTGGATGGATTAAGGCTTTAAGAGGTATCTGTAGGCACATGAGATTGCAAGGGACTTCCCAGGTCACCATATTTGCATCCTACTATCAAAACCACTGTATTAAATCATCTCTTCCAGAACAAAGACTTCCCCATCTTAAAATGAGTTTTCTTTTTCTTTTTTTTCATATCCTCCCTTAAATAACCTCAAAATTAGGATATTCCTTTTCATTTTCAGCTTAATTCATTAAAGACCCCATCCAGTGGCTATTTAGATGAAACACTACAGACTGTGTAGGACAAGTTTTTACATCCTCAGCTTTTTCTTTCTCTTCACCAACACAGTGATCCAGGTGCTGCTGTCACATAAATTCACCAGATTAAATCTCTGTTTTTTCTAATGCCATACTCAAAGGCGAATCCAAATATTCTACGGGTAACTTTTCCTGTAGTTGCTTTCCCTTGGGGAATTGCAGGGAACTGTAACATCACTACTGACTTTAAAACAGGGGCTGTAGATTCCTTCCTGTGTTACAATGCCCAGAAGAGCCTGTGAGTATGACTTTGGGGTTTGGTAATGGGGAACACAAGACAGTTTATAATGAAGTCTAACAAACTGGGTATGTTAATCTTTTCAGCCACTTAAATCCAGGGAAATCAAAAGCAAATGTCTTCCTACCATAGCATCCCAAAACCCAACCCCAAATACTTGGATCTTAATGCCTGCTGGGATGTTTTCTGCTAACCATCCATTAGGTTTCTTACAATATTCCACGCAACATTCCCCCACAAGCTGGATTGATTTCTTCCACGGCTTAACTTGTTTTTGCCAAAGTCTCTTTTAGTTCAGCACTGGCCTCCTGCCTAATGAAACAACCTTTCTTCATGCCAAAACTGTCATCTTCAATTGCACAAGACGCATCTCACTTACAAACATGTGTAATGAGCCCAGTGTTTAATGCCTGAAGAACTGCTATTTTCAAATGATCCTGAGCAAAACTTAAAACAGACACGGGAGTGGTCGGTACCTTGGGTGGGAAAGGAATTGTTCTCAGGAAAGATTTTTTTCCTTTTGTGTTTAAATACACCTTTTACAAACAAATCCCCGATCATCAGAACACAAAAGCAGATGTATTTAAAGCACAACAGCAGTGAGACATGGAAGGCTCACCCTGAACTGAAGTGAAAGCTTCATTCTCACCCAGTGTGAAGTCATCCTTCACATGCACCCCAGCCTTGGCTCTTATCAAACAGACTGGCCTTTAAATACAAGAATCTGATAACCTTAGTAAGTTATCAAGCATTGCTAATGACTGAAAAAAATCCATCTAAATAAACCTCCTGCTCTATTTTCCTGCTGTAATTTCAGACACAGCTGGAACAAAAATACCTGTGTGAGAAGTTGCTCTTGGGTCAGGTTATTGATCCAGCGAGTGTATCGTTCAGTGGAGTCCAGTGGCTCTCTTCTGACTTGGCAACCAACAATCTAAAGCAAAATGAGAGAAATCCCACAGTGTAAACTGCTGCACACCCACGTGGCAACAAAACAAGTTCATAAAATAAACATTCAAAACATGGCAAGTCCAAGAATTAACTATACACTCCTTGTTACCCCCCTTTCATGTCCATAATATCATTTGGCACAGTTGCTCTGTTCAACTGTTAATTAGTTACAGACTCTGAGGGTCTCTAGAAAACCAGCATTGAGAAGTGTCCTTCCAATAGCTTCATTCATGGGAATATTTGAACCATTTTGGTTGAAATTTTCAGACAAATGCAGACATCTAAAATGCAAAGTTTCACCCAACATAGTTAAGGTTTGGCAAATGAAAATGGGAAGTTGAATAACACCAGACAATTGTACCAACAGTGCCATAAGCCACAATACCACACATGACTTTTAATTCATATAAAATAAAGAAAAAACCCCCAAACTGTATTAATCTTCAGATAGTCAAGTTCTGTTCAAGAACAGGTGGAAAACTTCCTTGGTTTATTTTCCACCCTAAGGAATGAAGTGCATATACTGAGCACAGCAAGTTTCAATCTTCCAGGTATCTGTATTTACAGAGCTGTAAACCCCACACAGATGGGAGCAGTCAGGCTGGAATTCTGCACGTGCAGTTATGAATACTTTTGATGTGGGAACAAAAACACCACGAGGAGACCTTGCTGGGGGACTGCTGGCAATGAAACATCACCATTTAGACTATGATTAAATACAGTCCAAATAACAACCATGGAAAAAAAAAAAGAAAGCAAGATTTGCTTATCCCATAAGAATAAACCAAAATGTCTCTGAACTATGAAAATTTTCCTCAATGACAATGATGAATTACTATGGAAAACTTCAATCCTTATCCTAACTTACTCCTCAATCACAGCTAGGTAATAGCAAGACCTTTTCAGAAGGTTAACCTAAAATTCTTTCAAACTGAATATAAATTAGTAGAGTTCCTAGAGGTGTTTTTAATAGGGGCACTCCACAGAGATAAAAACTTGACAGAAGCTGTGTCAGATGTACATACATCCTGTTCTTCAAGGATTATTTTTATTTAAGAATAGAACTACATACAGAACTCATTCATTATCTGGACAATAGAACATTGTAATCCACACTTAGCAATCTTATACTTGTTTCACATATAGAATTAAAGAAAGAGAGGGAAAAAGGATCGATACACTTAACACTTTACTAAAATGTCTTCCATAATAGTGGCTTTAAGTTTGCTTTTTCTTAAATTACCTAAGTGTGCTATGCACACACATATCTGAAGTGTTTCTTTCCAAAAGGCTTTCTAATTATTCCTCAAATCTATTCTTTTACAAGCAAGTTGAATTTCTGTCTTCACTCCTCCTCCTGATTCCGAAAACCAAACCCACACAACAACCTGGCAATTCCTTCCTTTACAAGCAAAGGAACAAAGCAGCCATGGTTGGTGTTCTTGGTGGCCTTTCACTGCATTTTCACAGATGAACCAAACCCATCAGCAGGACACATAAAAGAAAGGACCTCCCTCCTGCAGGAGATGGTATAATAAGGCATCATTTAACCACCTCCTTTATTTATAATGGCATCACATCAAAATACATAAAATACAGCATTAGTGCTTGTTCCTGGGAACAGCTGCGTTTTAACCTTGTAACACAACAGGAAAATAGCTACAAACACATAACAAAGTCACCACACTGCAAGAGGTGAAATGTTTGCTCTCCCCTCTGCCCTAAGACCTCCTGCTTGCTTTCCATTTTCAGGACCAACGCCACTCAAGACCACTTCTGGCACCATCTTAAGAGCTTTGTTTTACAGACAAATCCTAAAATTGTGGCTATGCAATCAAATTTATTTCTAGATCTTCCTCCAAACACATTCCACACCTTTCTGCTCTTTAGCTGCACTATTTCTCTCCCAACAGGACTCTGACTCATGACTGGGATTTTTGTCTTATGGTTGCAAGATAAACACCACCAACCTGAGTCTTTGATACAGGATCTGTAAAGCCCAGCTCATGTAACCAGACAATGAAAATCAGATTATTTAGAGTAAAACCAGCTTCCTCCAGCTCCCCTGTGTAAGGTGTGGCAGCAGAAACAACTGCACACTGATCCACATTTCCTCAGTGTCTCACAGAGCTTTTATATTCATTCACTGAATATTTCTTCTTGGCTCCTAAATTGAAGTGAAAGTTTTCTTACTGCTGCGTCTTTCATAACTTTTAAAATACTTTGATGAAAATCTTTCTGGCTTATTTTACACCCATTCAGACCTTCCAGAAAGCATAAGAAACTCCTTATTATAAATATGCTTGTCAGTATTTTGAGAATCAGTTTCTATGCAAAAATATAGTTCAGCCAAGTTTCAACTTTTTGATCTAATTAGACGAGTTTATTTTTATTATTACAAATGCCAACTGTATACTTGCCAGTATATATACTTGCCATACCTGTACCAAGATTATACTATGCAATATATACAACAAATACAATACATTTCTTATTCCAACTGGAAACTTGTTGAGGTGCAGTATTAATATTCCTTGTATAGGAAGCAGTAACGTGACCCATGAACAAAAATTGTTTCTGGCTCATAGCAAAGGACTGAGGCAGTTCATGGAAAAGCAAAACTCATCAGGAGAGAAAATCATGACAGTCCTTTCTTCTACAACAGCAGATGAGGTAATCTGCTTTCTAGACAGACAATTACTTTTTTAATGGATTAAAGGTAGCTTAGAGTTTATTCAGCTATTTATTTAATTGCAATCAGCATTGGCCTCTCTGGAAAAAATATAGAAAAGAATTTATACTTTATTGCAGCAAGAGACAGTGATAGGAAAGAATAGTAAGAGCATCAAATAGTGGGTTTGTCTTAACTGCCAACAAACACATTTGCTGAAAGGCCATACAAGTAAACTTTAAAAATAAAAACAGCTTAAAATGAGCTTTGTGGGAAGAAGTGGGCAAATATTCCACCAATAGATGTCAACCCTCTCTAGATGGTCTCAGACAGCCCAAGATGTCAAAATAACACTACAGGTCTATGTTTAAGCACCTGTAATAACTCTCCCCCTTCACATAATTAGGAGTGGAGTTAATTAATCATATCTAAATAAGATTATCAGAAACAATGTCACAGTTATGTACTTCATGGCACTACATTTAAAACATTTTCAGGACTTAGAGAACTATAAAGCCAATCCAATATGACAATGATACAATTAAAACAGTACAAATAACAATATAAAATAAGGTTTCTCCATGAAACAGTTGCTCTAAGATGGTCAGAGGACCCTGGGTTAGCCATGATGTCTGAAATATAGATTTAATGAGCACATTCAATAACTTGTTGATTAATACAAAGCCCTGAGGAACTAGGCAGGATTACTAAATACATCACTAAATGGCACTATGAGCACACACAGTCACAGTTGTGTGAGTTACAAAATTGTTCCCCTGAAACACAAGATTATTTCAGTCCCACATCTGACAGGTACAAACCCCAGCACTCTGTACCAACAGCAGAGGCTGGTTTTAAATGCAATATTCAGGTGGAGATGCTTCTTATTTTCACCAGTTTAAGGTTTTTAAGTTTCCCCTTGCACATACAAATGGAAAAGGAAGCAGGTGAGAGGAAACAAAGTTGAAATGAGTTGACAGTAATTAAAACCAACTCACTTTCTGCAGATGTGGCACTTTTGGGTTTTTTAATCACTACAACTTCCTTTACCACAGCCTTTCTTATTCAGGAGGCAGCCTGTGGGTCAGAACTCTCCCGTTGTACTCCAGAGGAAAGGAGGATGAAAAATTAATTAATTAGTCTCCAGTTTTATACCAGTATTTTCCATCCTTGTTTTGTAAAAAGAGGAAATGAACAAAGACAGGCAAAAACCCATAAACTCTCCATAAGGCAGTAGGCACTGGGTGAACAAACACATGGGAGTCCTTCATATGATAGGTCTTATTTGAAGGAACCTAATCTTAAGTTTGGGTTTTTTTAATTTAGCAACCACTACTGATACTGAAACAGGTATTGGAAAAATATGCATTTTAGCATGAAAAAATCCACAGCTTTCCTGCACAAAACTAATGCAACTTTCAAAGATTATGTAAAGTAGAAGAGTTTCTTCTACACTCCGAGGAAGAAGGTGCAGTGTTGAGTTTCATGTTAGAAATATGACAGAATGATAGAAAGCTCCTCTTAGAAGAGAACATAATTAGCTACTTAGTGAAGCTTTAATTAGAAGTATCATAACATCTGATCCTAGATAATGTTCTGTAAAAAAGACTATGCAAATAACAAGTAATATAGGAAGGATTATCTCTAGGGCATGACACCTTTTTGCCCAATAAGTCTGTTTATGGGTGTCCACAGAGAGAAAAATCCTAAACTAAAGAGCTAATAAGAGTTATTTCCGTTATCTTGAATGTTTAAGACAGCTTTAGTTAACCAAGCCTCCATCTTGATGTGTAAAGGAAAGGTAGATGCCACCTCTGCTGTCCCTAAACCCTGCTTATTTTTGTTCTAGTCATTTCCACACAGCAATTTCCTTTAAGAAGGATTTAGTGATCATCATTTAATGCAATGAAAAAAGAAAAATAAACAAAAGGAATAGCTTTATGTGGTTAAAATCTTTCCAAAATTATATACTGGGGGAGGAAGGGAATAAAATGTATTTCCTCTCCCTTTCATTTCCAAAGCAGGAAACTGTTCTTCAAAACACCCAATTTGCATTAGGTGTAAATACACAAAACACACCCTGGTGTATTTAAAGCATGTCTTAAAAATTATAAAATATGTTGATGGTGCTGGCTCCCCAGAGAATCCTTTAGGTCAGATGAATATCCATTTCCACAGATGTTCTTATCTTGGAGCAATCCATATTTCAGAACACCTGTTAAACATCCTCCTTTGACACTGGTTCAAGTCCAAAGTCCACGAAAGGATGTTACACGTTTATTTTCAGCACATAAAAAGAGAGTAATTAAAAG